TAAGGACCGAGGACCGCAAGGACCGGTCCCATTAACCGGTCTAAGACCGGTCTTACCAGGACCGATCCATCCCTAGTAATTACTAATTTTGATTTTATTATTTCTTTTTATTTTAAAGTTTAAAATAGAAAATTACAAAAATAACTCATAAAAGTGGAGTTCCTTTCTATTTGCAACTTGCTTTAATAAAAGAATTAAAAAATAAATAAATTGAATGTGTGTTTAACATGATCTAATCGAATGATTATTTTTTACTTGTTTCAGGTTCGATTTGAAAAAAAGATAAAAATGCAAATGAAAAAAATAAATAAATAAAAAACACTCTTATTAACTGACGAACACCTGAATGAAAATAAAATAAAAGATAAAAAAAGACAAAAAATTAAAAAAATAAAAGAAAACTTACAATTCAACAATAAAAAATTATAAATGAAAATAAACAAAGTTTACTTATGTTATAATTTAAAAATAGAAGTCAAAAAAAAAAAATAAAAATAAAAACCTACATTAAGCAGCAGCCCGAATGCGATCGAAAAATCCTAAAAAATAGAAAAAGGATAAAAAATATAACGAAAAGAAAAAAAAAATACCGAAAAAATGTAAGAAAAAAAATAACAAACCTAGAACATCCTTAAAAAAAAAAAGAATTAGAAAATTTAAGAAAAAGTAGAAAAAAAAAAATAAATTTAAATGCTATTAAATTTAATAAATAGATGCCGCGAAATTAAATGCTATCTACTTGATTTAAAAAGACAATTTTTATTAATATGTAAAAATGAAAATATAAAAATTTTAAATAAGTCGGCTGTTAAACTGTATTTATGAAATCGAAAACAAAAATTAGCATATTGTGATTGGTTAAAATAATATTTTTATAAGTTTGTCATTTTCGCTTGAGAATGTATCATTAGGAGATTTCGATATTTTTTAAATCTTTTTAATTTGGGAGTACATTAATTCTAATTGGCAATTGTGATTTAAGTAGACTCACTATCATGTTATAAAGTAACTGGAGCAGTACGATTTGAATAAAAATCATTCATTTATGCATTTTAATTGAATCCATTGTAATCGCATTGCATAAATAACTTGCACAAAATAAAATAAAAAAGTATTTCGCATAAAATAATAAATAAAATTCTGCAAAAAGCTTTCATTTTTCTTTCATACATGTTTGTATTTGTGTTCATTAATTGGAAACCTTTAAAATTATCGTAGTTTGTACGATTTAAGTCAGGACTCAAGTATATACAAGAGAGAATGAGGTAACTGATGAATAGTTTCATAAATCGAACCACTATGAATGCTTCATGTAGATAAATTATTTGTCTCCGAGTTAAAATAAAACAATAAATCTTTTGTAAGCATGATTCATTTTATTAATCGTTTTACTTATTATATAGGGCGTTTGATATTTGTAATAAACATTTTGCATGTATGAGATAATTATCCCTATAAACTCGAGCACTCTTGATGACAGTAAGATTATAATTTAATGTTTTTACTTAGGATGAAAACCTTTATTATTGACGCGTGCGTGTTATCATAATTAAAAAATGAATACGAGTTCTTTGCCGCGTAATTAAAATTTCAAGCGTTTTTATTATAGTGATAGTGCTATACATATCAAAATTCTCATATCGTAGCTGACTAAATCTAGGATTGATGAATCAAGTTTACGAAAGATAAATTTATTTTGATTTGAAAATTTTTTCGAACAAAAAATTACGAAGGATTCCTTTCAAACGTTTCATAGTAAACATAAATTCCAAACTATTACATTATTAAATAGTACCTTACTCAACTCAGATACTTCGATAACAATTAGTTAAATTATGATGTATTTATCGAAATAAAAATTGTTTTTTGATGAGATCAGTACTGAAGGGTTATATTTCCGAAAAAAATTCTTGGCTATTAATTGATTTAACCGCAAAAATCATTATTTACGACATCCTTGGCCTAACTTTAATCTTTAATTCGGTACAAGTATTTAAAAACGAATACTTTAAATTCATGGGGACATTCATGTCTACTAATGTGATATCAAAATTTCTATAGATCAAAAATATCAACAATTTTATTGTTATTAAAGCGATCTTTCTTCCTGGACAGCCCCGAACTCCACCTCCAAACGTCAATATTTTACTTTTTAATGCTTCGGATTTCATAAATCGATCAGGATTAAATTTATGAGGGTCTTTCCAATAAGCTGGGTTCATGTGAATCCCCTCAGCATATATTTCGATCAACATGTTTGCAGGCCATTCATAACCGGCTATAATATCTTTTGTAGTAGAGGTTCGTAATAATGTCTTTGCTGGATTTACAAAACGAGTACATTCGTAGAATATAGCTTCCGCGTAACGCATTTTCGAAAGGTCTTCCATCGTGATTTTTCGATCTTTCTCGAAACCAAAGATTGTATCTAGTTCTTGTCGCAAACGAGCCAATACCTCAGGGTAATGAGCCAAATAATATACGACAGTACATAATGCATTCGAGGATGTATCAATTCCACCAGAAAGTGCCTCAAGTAAAATTTGACTAATCTGATCATTAGTTAAAGGTTTGGAATGTTCCTCTTCAACACTTTTTTGATCGATAAGCTCCCGTTCAGTATTCGTTGTGATCAATAATGTTAACATGTCATATCTTAATTCTTCGTGAATCGAAGTCTGCTCAATTTCCTTTCGTCGATGATTAATAATCTTTGTTAAGAGATCAAAAGTTTGCTTTCTATTCTCAAACGCCGCATCATTCTTCTTTTTTAAGAGAGTATGTCTGATTATTGCAGGAACAACGAGAAAAAAGCCTAGATATTCTAAACCTTCATTAGTAATTTGTGGAAAATGTTCCATATCTTTATCAATGGGATTTGGCTCAATGAATTTTTTCTTTGATGATTCAACAAAACTATTAAAGTATGATTTCAACCCGTTTACTCTTAATCCAACGACCATTTGGAAGGTGATCTCAGTAGTGAATTTATTAATCCAAATTGAAAAATCAATTGGTACATCCTCACCAATTTCCTTCCAATATTCATTTAATTCATCATAAATTGTCGGTATCAAATTTACAACCTCTTTGGAGAAACTCGGAGCGAGGATGACCTTGGTAAAGAATTGACGATTAAATTTCCAATTAGGGACATGTGTATTAAAAGTCAACCCTATTTTTGAAACTCCTAATTCATCAAATGCGGGTGTTTTACCCATTCTTAACGTGTAAGTGCTCTGTGTGGAAGTTGACATGATCTTTTCGATGTAATCCGGTCGAGCGATTACAATCCTTCGGCAACCACCGATATATGTTTCGAAAATGTCACCATGTCTTTCATGTAGTATCTTGTACCATACTGTAAAATCCCCTTTACCATAATGAATTATTCCTAATAAATTTCCAACAAAAGGTAACGGGATAGACCCTGGCAAAGGGTTTGTACGTGTAAAATATTGGAAATAAAATTTTGCGACGTAAATGAGAATAATCGATACAATAATTCCTATAACGTCTGATACGCTCAATGACGTCAGTATCATGATTCCTTATTGTAATTTTATTTTTTTTTTTTTCACAATTTTTATTTCGGTAAGTAAAGAAATAAAAATTCACAATTTAGGATGCGTATTTATGTAAAGTTTTAGTTGATCAACTAAACTATAACGGATATCGACCGATACTAAATGTCACAAACACTTATGATGAATAATTTGAATGTCTGAAAGTCTAATTACATAATAAATGCAGACTTTTTTGGCCGATTCATCATGGTTTTTGCAACAGAATGACCAATTAGGATGCTTCAAGCTAGTCATGAACTTAAATGTTTAATTCAAAAATTATATATATAGATTTCGGGTTTAAATACCATTCGAATTTAGCTATGATTAGAGCACTATTATAATTAAATTATATAGTTACATGCATTATTATAGGAAAATCATTTCATGTGGACAATTCTAATTGGTTAACATCGGTAAATTGCCCTTATGGATGGATATATTAACCTTTTTTATTTATATCCAAATTTCTGTAAATAAAAAAAAAATCACTTCATCGGGTTTATTTTAAAAGGAACTTTCCACGAAGTGTTCTTTTTCAAATAGTATGTATTATAAGTCTACTTTATTGGCCTCTTAAAGTCGAAGCAAAATTTCGCTCTACCTAGTAATATATGTAGTCAAAATACTTTTTAATCCAATGATCATTTAAAAAAAATAAAAATTTCTGAATTGAAACTTTTGAGTTTCTTTTTTTTTGACGTTGATATTTGATTTTTTCAACATGATCAGATCATACAATGTAATTTTCATGCGATCAAATATTTTATACTCCGCATGTTAGACTAATTAGGAATGAGATACTGGTAAAATATTTAACATTCAATGATGATCAAAGGTGATTCGCCAAAATAAATTTATTTTTTAAAAAAAAAAAAAAAATATATATATATATATATATATATATATATAACGAAAGGACAAGGAACCAATAAATGAACACTTTTGATTGGTACTGTTTGAAAAGGTAACATAAGATGTGACATGATGATCCTTAAAACATAAAGTAAATTTCCACATAACATTACTACTCGTTCTAGGGTTTCCGTTTGCTAGTACCCTCCGCAAAGTTTACCTTAAGACCAGAAGTGATAAAGAACGTTCCTAAAAAAAAAAAATAAATAAAGTGAGAGAGAGAGAGAGACCTTTGAAAGAGCCCCCTAAAACTCTATTTTATAATTTTCGATATTCATTTTCGATATTTCGATGTTTGATTTGAAATGATTTTCAATAGAAATCATTTCTATAACCGCATTTTTTTTTTTTTTAAAAAAAAAATTGTTTCGAATATTTTGAATATCAATTTGGAAGCCCTGTATTTTGTTCTGTTCCCCGCCACGTAGTAAATTAAAAAAGAATTCTCCGTCGCCGATTAAAATTATAAGTGTGTTGCCAAAAATAATGTAATTCTTGAATGCTAAAAAAAATATCGACAACAAATGATAAACTTTAGATTTTGTTATTATTACCATTACCATTATCATGTCATGTAGTTGAAGTCATTGCAGCTGAAATTTCTAAAACTACAATAATACAATTTTTATTTTTATATTGAATATATTCACTACCCTATCAAAAGTATCCGGTCGACCAAATTAAAAATTATATTTTATTATAAATATTAAATTTTTAATATTGAGTTGGTCATCCTTGACTTTCAATACATGCTTCTATCCGACGTGGCATGCTTTCGGATGGAATTCTTACAATGTTCATATAAATTTTTTGGATACCCCGATCATTTTCGAAGTCTCCGTTCTATTTCATGCCACAAATATTCAATAGGATTAAGGTCCGGAGATTGAAAAGGCCAATCTGGAAGAATCTTAATCTTTTTCTATATAATCCAATTTTTGACATCCTTCGCGGTATATGTTTCGATGGCGCAGTAAAGATCATCACTACGCAAATTGATTGTTTTTATTTTATTTTTATTGCCAAATTTGGTATATACGTCATAACAAAAAACAAATAAACAAATTTTAATCGTCAGAACCGGAGTATTTATTTAAAAAAAAAAAAATTTATATTAATTAATATATCCGATCTCGAAAAAATCAAAAAGAGCTTGACCGGATACTTTTTTTCAAAAGTTTTAGCTAGTACATTTTGTTCTCCATGATGATCTTTTGGATCTAATGTTGTTGCAGTTAAAGATAATTAAATCCATTTGCACATTCCATAACTCATCCAAAGAAACGGTAGACAGCATATATTCTTTTATTAGGATTTTATCAACTACTAGAGAAAGTTATTCAATTGACTTGAATTTATAATTTCATTATTTTACACATGGGATTTTGTAAATTATGAATATAACGAGAACTCCATCACGAACATGATTGTTTGTTTTTGTCACTATTTTTATTTTTATTTTACTCTCTAAATGTTATATCCAATACATAAATGCTTTTTACACGCATAAAATATGATGAAAAAAAAAAATAGATTTATACATAAATTTTGAAAATATGCAAATTACCATCCATCGTTGATATTGAAATCAGTTTATTAAATAAAAGTAATTTTCAACTTCAGTAACTTAAATTTTATTTATTTGTATAAACTTTATTCTGAGCGTCTCTGTATTTTATCTTAAAATATTTAACTGCATGCGAATTATATATTTTATTGGATATGAGTTTTATGTTTATAAAAAAAAAAGAATACTCAGATTGTAATTATGAAGTAGTTCTATATAAGAATTATTAAATTTTGTAAAACTTATTATCAGAAATTTTAGCATTTTTAATTATTTATACTTTGGAACGTTTAAATTTGATTTTCATTATAACCTTTACTAATTATTCAGATTCAGATCAAAGCATTTTATATATATAGAGAGTAGGAAGTTGCGAAGCTTAAATTTTAACATTTAATCTAATTAAGGTCCAAATTTCGTAATCACAGCTCAAATTTCTGATGTCATTTAAGCATACTTTTAAAATTTAGTCAAGGAAATAAATAACTTGAATATGGCGATCACAAATTATTTACATTCGTATCATGTGACTATTGTTTACTAAATATGTCACTATTGCACACTTTCTTCATCATTATACTGGGCGTAAAATCATGATTATAGTTTTAATAAAATAATTTTTTCTCATTAAAAAAACATCCCTTACGAAGAAATCAAATTATAATGGCTGAAAATAAGTTTTTATTGGAATTATCACAAAATTTACTCGAAAGTTTAGAGGATAATGAATTCTACGATGTTACAATTGAAGTTGGAAATGATCCATATGTAAAAGTATTTCGAGCTCACATGATGATTTTATATTACCGCTCTCCTTATCTGCGGAGAGTTTTGTCCATTAATAAAAAGAGAAATGATGAAATTTTGACCCATATTAAATTGCCAAATATTTTACCTGAAAGTTTTCACGTAATCTTGAGGTAAGTTAAATTGATTAATAAAGTTCTTTTTTTATGAAGAAAACTTTTTAGATTTTTACAAAAAAATTTTTTATTTTTTATTTTTAAGGCATATTTATGGCGCAAATCTTTCTATGAAGGATTATGATACTTCGGATATTATTAATATCTTGGTTGCCGCCAATGAATTAAGTCTTCAAGGGTTGGTCACTCATATACAATCGTTTTTGATACAAAATAAAGTAAATTGGGTGGAAAAACATTTTAGCTTGATATATCAAACAAGTTTTAAACATGATTCTTTCTTGGAGCTTCAAAAATTTTGTACCAATATAATGTCTAAAGAACCAGAAAAAGTATTTTTGTCCATTGATTTTGCTTCGATGCCAGAAAAATCTTTGGTTGCTCTTATTCAAAATGAGAAACTTTCAATGAAAGATGTTCAAGTTTGGGAGCATGTTCTTAAATGGGCATTAGCTCAAAATCCAGATCTTTCTTCAAATCCTTCTAGCTACTCGAAAGATGATTTCAATGCTTTGAAGAATACCTTACAACAATCAATTCCATTTATCAGATTTTCCAATTTAAGTTCTAGGGAATTTTTGAATAAAGTTCTACCATACAAGAAAGCATTACCAAAGGGATTATATGTAGATTTAGTTAAATATTTCTTAGACAATGATCATAGGCCAAGTGATAAATTGATTAAAGCGACTATAGGGAAGGATATTGAAAGTAAAAATGAAGTTGGGATGGACATTAATTGTTCAAATGAGTCGAACATGATGGAGGGTATGACTTTTACTGCGTGTTCAAAATTTAGTGATAAATCACGAAATTCAGTAGAAATTGGAAGAAAACAATTTCGTATAAAAAAATTATAGTTTTACGGTAAAAAAAATTATATAGGCTATTTGTGAATTTTATTTTAACAAATACTGTTCAGATTCTAATTTTTATATACAAAAAAAAATTTAAAATCAAAATTAAATTAAAACTTATCAAAAATTCAAGTTTACTATTCTATCTAATAAGTTTGTGTTTGATTACAATAATCATATAAGAATTTAATATGGTATATAATACATAATTTTGAATATTTATTATGAATTAATATTGGATGATTATTATAATTCTTAATATGAGAAAATTAGTTTTCATATGTAAATTTAAATATAAGAATATAAATTGCTTGATACAAATATAATAACTGCTGCCTATTAACAACTGCTTCTTTGAACGTTATTAAATGTCAAATTTTTTTTTAATTAATTTAATTTATCTCGTTTTAAAAATGTAAATATTTCAGAACATTCAAAGGAAAACCCAATATTTAAAATGAAAAATGTCAGTAGTAATATTAATAATCATATGCGGATATGGCTTGTGATCGGTAGGCTTTTCTACTATAATCAATTAGTAAACTTAAATTTCCAGTTTTTTTGTCATATGCAAATCTTACTTTTCATTATCAAAAGCCGGTTATGATCATTTTCATATTAAAAAGATTTGTATAACTATAATTGAGTTATTTGACTCAATGCTCATATTAATCATATTATTAAGAAATTGGTTTTATTACATTCACGAGAAACTCTGCTTTAAAAATTAAGTTTTTTTCAAGATCTTTTTACAAATAGAGACATATATATAACTTTAACAACAAAAATATATGTAATTTTATGGAAGGAAGAAGATTTTTTTAGGTTATAGAGTGTGTTGTTCAGTTGGTTTTTATATAAAATACAAATAATTAATTTTTTAAATAAAAAAAAAGAGAATTTTTAAATTATAAAAAAATTTCATTGATAAACTTTTAATAAATGCTTTGAATTTATATACAACTTGATGGAAAGTAATAACTTTATTAAAGTAAGTAATTCTTTACCTTAAGAGACTTCATTTTACAATATTAATAAAAAATGTGATAAGTTTAATAATATAATTTAATATAATATAACAAATATATTTTTAGGCGAATTATACTTTTAACAAACCTATAGAAAAAAACTTAATGAACTTATTAATATATTATAGAATAAGAATTGCTTTATTTAATAAAAAAGCAATATTTATATGCTAAAAACTATATTTCAAGATATGGCAGTTTTATGATAATGTATCTTTAATTATTTTGATATTTAGTTTTTTTATTATTTTTTGAAAAATATAGATGAAAATACAGTAACCCAAGAAAGTATTCACAATATTGTAATTTTATAGTGAATAAGTTTAAATTCAATTAAATAATTAATTAAACACCTTTAACAAGATTTTAAAACTTTATTATCAATTTATATATTTACTTTATTCAATAAAAATATAAAATATGTTTTAATATTACGTATGTCCACCTTTTACTTCAATTAATATACCAACCTGCTTGGACATACTATTAATCAAATTTGATAATGTATTAGATACCAATTTAATTTACTCTTCTTTTAAGACTATTTTTAACTATTGTACTGTTTTTGAAAATGGTTTATATTATTAAATGCTATCTTTTAGAATTTTCCAAAGATTTTCTATTAGATTGAAAACTGATAATTGGGCTGGCTAAGGCATTGATCTAATTAGAGTTCTGAATGAGTCAAATCAAGTCGAATTTAAAGATCAACTCTATTCAACTCTTGTTTTTCGAGTCAAGTCGAGTCAAATTTATTTTATAAAATCTTTTAATTTAATTTAATTTGAGTTATATAAATTTTAAATTCGACTCAATTTGACTCAACTCGATTTTAACTCAATTCAATTTTAACTTACATTTATTCAAATCGAATCAAGTTCAAATCAAGTTATGAGTTAATTTTAAAATTTTATAAACATTTAAATATATCAGAGAAGCGAATGATTTGTCATCATTCTTCTTAAATGATTTTTTATCGTTCAAGTCAAATGATTCGTTATCGTTCTTCTTGAATGATTTTTTTATCATTCAAGTTGAACGATTTGTCATCGTTCTTCTTGAACAATTTTTTTATCGTTCAAGTTGAACAATTTCTCATCATTCTTCTTGAACAATTTTTTATCATTCAAGTTGAGCGATTTCTTATCATTCTTCCTAAACAATTTTTTTTATGATTCAAGTCGAACGATTTTTCATTATTCTTCTTAAATAATTTTTTATCATTCAAGTCGAATGGTTTCTCATCATTCTTCTTGAATAATTTTTTTATCGTTCAAGTTGAACGAATTCTTATCGTTCTTTTTGAATGATTATTTTTCTATAGAATCGCAGTCCTTGAACTGCAGTTTCAGGACCTGGTCCCAGAATTCAGTCCTAGGACCCAAGTCCTATAGACTGGGAGTTTCAGAATCAGACTAAGGCTGGATTAGATTTTAACATCCCTAAAAATAATATTATTTCAAGTCAACTTGAGTCAACTTGAATCAAGTCAAGTTTAAATTGAGTTGAGTTAAATATTTAACTCGACTTGAATTTGGCTTGACTCACAAATTATCGAGTCAAAAAAACATAAACTCAACTTGATTCAAACTCAACTTGGCTTATCTAACTCATGAGTTAACTTGACTTGTCCAAAACTCTAGATCTAATCCTATTCTTTTTTTTTATTCACGAGTTTTTTACTAATATGAATTTTGGCATTATCATCTTGAAAGATAAGAGTAATGCCAAATTCAGTTTCTATAGTAGTTTTAAATTCCTTAAGATGATCATTAAGAATTTTTATATAGTTATCAGAATTTATGCGTTCTTTTTTACAAATTACTAATAGTTCCAATCTATTACTTATGAAACAATCCCAAACTATAATAGATTTACATACACTTTTAAAAATAGATTTTAAATACACTCCCTGGCCAAAAGTTTAGGACCACCCGGGATCTGCAAAATAATCTGCGTTTAATATACATTTATGAATATTTTTTGTGATCAAAAAAAGCTAGAATTGTATTATATAATAATTAATAAATAAATTATCAAGATTTATCTTTTTTTTTCTTTCGTTCTGTATTTTATGAAATGATTAAAAAAAAGAGTTATCAGATTTTGAACATAAGAGAATCATCAGTTTTTATGAAGCTAGTAGTTCAGAAAGAACTATATCACAACAAATAGGTTATGAAAAGATCACTATTTATAATATTATAGCAAAATACCATAAAACAGGCACTAAAACTACTGCTTTTGTAAAGTGGATACCTGAAAATATTGACCAGAACTTGATAAACATCATCTTAAAGCAGTTGTCATTAAAATCTGACGTGAATCAACAAAAAAATACATGAAATTTTTAATGAAACCACTGAAAATAAAGTAAGCAAGAGGACTGTAAGGTATACATTATATGAGCTAGGATATCATAGTTGTACAGCTCTTAGAAAACTATTGGTTAGTGAATCTAATTGAAAAATTCTGTTAAATTAGGCTCGTGAAGACGTCAATAAATAATAAATAAATGGAAAAGGTTATTTAGAGTGATGAATCTAGATTTACTTTATTTCAAAATGATGGAAAAATTCATGTTTAGCACCTCCTAAAAGAAAAATATGATGTTAGCTGTCTTTCTTCAACTGTAAAATATGGTGGTGGTAAATCATGATGTAGGAGTATTTTTCCTGGTATGGTTTAGGACCTTTAATGAGAATTGATAGTCAAATAAATAGTGAAAGATATATAGAGAAGATTATTAACTATCACTTGGTATCATTTTTAGAGGAATTTAAAGAAGAAAATAGTGAATATTTTTTTCAACAAGACAACGTGCTAATTCATACTAGTGTAATGATCCAAACCTTCATAGAAGAAGTGGGAATAACTCTATTGTCATAGTCAGGATAAAGTCCAAATCTTAACTCTATTGAACATCTATGAGATGAGCTCAAACGTCATATCTAGGCAAAAAAAATCATCCAAGAAATCTGAGAGAATTAGAAGCATTTATTTAAGAATGCTGGTTACAAATTCAACGTGAAGTTTATCAAAAACTTGTTAACAGTATGGAGTCTCGAATCAAAGAAGTGATAAAAGCCCGTGGTTATCCTATTAAGTATTGAAGATTATTTTTATTAACTTTTTAGTAGTAAAAATAATAAATTATTTTGTTAAATTTTTTTTTAACAAAAAATAGTGGTTTTTTTGTTAAAATCTTTAATAATTTTATAGTTCTTTGATTTTATAAGATTTTGAGCTGTTTTTTTTTGTTATATTATGCATAGTAAAGTAGAGGTGTGCTCCGAATCTGATCAATCTGGATATCCGGTCATCCATCCGAAATTTGACCAAATTCAGATTGATCCATTTATATCATCAGATTGACCAGATGGATCATTAGATATCTAATGAACAAATTGGACAATCAATTCGACTTAGGTAAGCATAAATTTTTTTTATTTATTTTTTTTTTTTACAATAATGATAATATTAAATCTATGTATTACATCACTCACATACACACATACATACACACATATAACACACACACACACACTCACTTACTCACTTTCTCTCTCTCTTCCCTCTCTCCCTCTCTCCTCCTAGACCTTTTACTCCAAATTTTGACTTAAACAGCTTGAATTTAAACGGTAAATGCAAAATTCTTCCTTTTTTTGTCTTGGAAATGTTACTAACTTTCATTTTACTTCTTTTCTTTAGGGACGCCTTCTTGGATCTGGATTTCAGCTAGACTATGAAGGTAAGTTAGTGTTTTTATTTTTTCTGTCATTGGGAACGTCATTAATGTTCCTTTTACTTCTTTTCTTTAGGGGATGCCTTTCTGAACTGGATTTCTGCTTGGACTATGAAGGTAAGGTGGTGTGAGGGATTGTTTTTGATTTTCTTTGTCTTTAGAACGCTATTAACGTTTCTTTTGCTTTTTTCTTTAGGGGACGCCTTCTTGGACCTGGATTTCAGTTTAAGCTATAAAGGTAAGATGGTGTAGGGATTCTTTTTTGTCTTTGGAATGCCATTAACATTTCTTTTACTGTTTTTCTTTAGGGAACACTTTCCTAGATCTGGATTTTGGCTTAGACTTTGAAGGTAAGTAGTGTGGGAAATTTTTTTTGTTTCTTCTTTGTCTTTGGAATACTATTAACATTTTTTTTGCTGCTTTTCTTGTGGAATTTTTTGTTTTTCTTTGTCTTGGAACGCTATTAACGTTCCTTTTCCTTCTTTTCTTTAGGAAACACCTTCCTGAACTTGGATTTTGGCTTGGGTTATGAAAGTAAGGTGATGTAAGATTGTTTTTGTTTCTTTATCTTTAGAATGTCATTAACGTTCATTTTGCTTCTTTTCTTGTGATTTTATTTTGTTTTTCTTTGTCTTTGAAATGCTATTAATATTTCTTTTACTTCTTTTCTTTAGGGAACACCTTCCTGGACCTGTATTTCAGCTTGAACTATGAAGGTAAGTGGTATAGGGAATTGTTTTTGTTTCTTCTTTGTCTTTAAAATGCTATTAGCGTTCCTTTTACTTCTTTTCTTGTGGTTTTTTTTTGTTTTTCTTTGTCTTTGGAATACTATTAATGTTCCTTTTGCTTCTTTTCTTTAGGGGACGCCTTTCTAGATCTGGATTTCAGCTTGAGTTATGAAGGTAAGTGGTGTGGGAAATTGTTTTTGTTTTTTCTTTATCTTTGAAACGCTATTAATGTTCCTTTTGCTTCTTTTCTTTAGGAGACGCCTTCCTGAATCTGGATTTCTACTTGGATTATGAAGGTAAGATAATATAGGGATTGTTTTCATTTCTTTTATCTTTGGAACACCATTAACGTTTCTTTTGCTTTTCTTTAGGAGATGCTTTCTTGGACTTGGATTTCGGCTTAGGTTATAAAGGTAAGGTGGTGTGGAGGTTTGTTTTTATTTCTTTATCTTTGAAATGTCATTAACATTTCTTTTGTTTCTTTTCTTGTGGTTTTTTTATTTTTCTTTATCTTTGGAAAGCTATTAACATTCCTTTTGCATCTTTTCTTTAGGAAACACCTTCCTAGACTATGATTTCGACTTGGATTATAAAAAGAATAGATAAATTTCATTTTTTTTGATTCAAGAATGATACTATAAATATTTCTTTGATTTTGGCGTAAAATTTACACACACTTTAAATGGCTAATTAAAAAAGAATAGATCTGCTTTTGTAAAATAATTAAGATATTCTATAAAATTTCTATATAAAACTTTTGTTTTATCTAACTTTAAAAAAAGATTGGTTGTTTCATAAAAATATTTGTTACACATACTCCTTTTTTTTGATTTATACATCCTTTTTTTTTTTTTTTTTTAATTATTTTTTTTTTCGTAAAAAGTTTTCACATTTTTTAATAAATTTTTAATAAATGTATAAACATGGATTCAAGTTCTGTTGAAAATAATCAAAATAATTCAAATAAAATTCAAAAAAAAAGGAGGGTCACAAAAAAGAAATTGGATATGGGATTGGTTTGTATTTAATGATGGAATTGCTATATGTCAAGTAGAGGTTATTACAAGTAAAATATGTGGTAAAAAATATCAGTATGGAAGTTCAACAGGCATCTTAATAGACCATTTAAGTAGTAAACATCAAATAACTAAAAAACAATTAAGCAAAATTATGTGATGTTAACCCTATGCTCAACCGTTGAACTTAGGGCAACTATGACTTAATAACAGGGAGTAGAGTTCTGAATGAGTCGAATTGAGTCGAGTTTAAAGATCAACTCTATTCGACTCTCTTTTTTCGAGTCGAGTCAAGTCAAATTTATTTTATAAAATCTTTTTAATTTGATTTGATTCGAGTTATATAAATTTTAAACTCAACTCAATTTGACTCGACTCGATTTTAACTCGATTCGATTTTGAAAAAAAATAATAAAAAAAAAATGAAAAGATGGGGGGAAGAGCGAATAATTCATTATCATTTTTCTTGAACGATAAAAAAAATTGTTCAAGTTGAATGATTCATCATCGTTCTTCTTGAATGATAAAAAAATCATTTAAGTCGAACAATTTGTCATTGTTTTTCTTGAACGATAAAAAAAATCGTTCAAGTCGAATGATTCGTTATCATTCTTTTTAAACAATAAAAAAAATCGTTCAAGTCGAACGATTCGTCATTATTCTTCTTAAACGATAAAAAAAATCGTTCAAGTCAAACAATTTCTTATTGTTCTTCTTAAACGATTTTTTTATCGTTCAAATCAACTTAAGTCAACTCGAATCAAGTCGAGTTTAAATTGAGTCAAGTTAAATATTTAACTTGACTTGAATTTGGCTTGACTCGCAAATCATCGAGTCAAAAAAACATAAACTCAACTTGATTTAAATTCGACTCAGCTTATCTGACTCGTGAGTTAACTCAACTTGTCCAGAACTCTATCTGTGTTAGAGCGTTTCATATACTTGAAATTCTGAAATAGTTATAGGGATTGATAACTATAATTTTGCATCACTTCAGCCGTGGAGCTCACCATGCCCTATTTGCAATGAAAAACATGAAAATTATGGATTACATGGCTCATGGTATCGCAAAAATGGAAATCAATTCCTTTATGATCCTGAATTAGCGAAGTTGTATTCTTAAGATAAGTCAGAATATTGTCTTACCTGCAATACTTCAAGCAAAAAACTTAAGTTCGCAATTGTAGCATAAAGCTTATTATGTATAGTGAGCTAGTTCTATATTTTTTTTCATCGCTCTTGAAATAAGTCACAATTCTTGTCCATCAATTCCTTTTCCAGAGCTATTGTGCCAATTTCTACTGCTCATTTGTGACATAAGAGATTCTTGTTAAACTTTAATAATCATGTTTCTGCTTTCTCATACCATTAAAAATGCTTCATTCAGTTTGCGCTATAAGGTGACTTAGCTTTCTTATGGTATCTCATTTGGATTACGATATAGGTCAGAACTTTGTAACAAGCAAAAGCTTGAGCAACTTGAATCATTGCTTACAACACCACGTAAAGAAAAGATGGTTAGGCAATCCTTTAGTTTTGAACAAGTTTTAAAAACTGCGCAAAGATTAGCATTTGCAGAAGAAAGAGATGACATTGTAACAGACTTACTTTTAGCATTTTCAGAGGGAACTGTAAGTATAGGGATTCCCAGCTGTAATGTATCAATATAATAAATATTTTATTTATACATAGGTTAAAACTTTTTCAAGCATTGTGATCGAAGAAATTCCTCAGCTTGAAGTCAAAATGGGTGGTTATTTAATTTTCAAGGATGAAATAGCATTGAAACCTTCAAAGCATTTTGAAGATGTAATGGAAAGGATATTTCGATATTGGAACCTAAGTGTAAGTTAAAATCAATTCATTCAAAAACTTGTTTCCAATTTATTTTAACTGTATTTCACATTTTTTAGCTTGAAAATGCAAAAAGAATGATAGTTGACACATACTTATTGGAAGCGGTTGACTATAAGTATAATTCAAAAACTTACGACACTAAAAAAGATAAATTAGCAATATATCCAGAGTATTATGTCAAACCCCAAAATGTTGAAAGAGATTTGACTTTAAAGGATTCAGTTGACTATATTTCTGCCGAAAGAGCAGAACCTAATAATCGTAAGTTGCTAATTAGCAAGCCAAATACTCTGCTCTCAATTTCTTCTAACTACTCTTAACTACTTTAGTGTCACTTCAAGCTGGGCATAGTATACCAAGCCATTGTATGTTTTGTGCCATTGAAGCAAAGAAAGATAAATCATTTACTCAAGGTACTGGCGAACTTCTTGGAGAAATGAAGGCGTTATATAAAAGAGAAAAGTATGATCTTACATTCTTTATTGAATATTATTTTATCAAAATTCTAATGTTTTTACTTGTGATATAGGAAACCTATTAACGGTGTGCTTACGGATGGGTTGAAATAGATATTCTACTATTTAGATGATGACATGTATTATAAAAGTGAAATTATCTATCACAAATCACATTCTAATATTATATTGGATGCATTACACTATTGGGTCTGAGGTGAAATTTCCGCAGATAATCTATTTGAAAAAGTAAATCAAATTGACTAAATCATTCATACGTTGAGACCACCTATGACTTTCACATGATTACTGCATCGCATATTTAAATGTTTACATTTTTTGTATCACATCATTGAAAAAATAATAAAGAAAGAAGTTATACGCAATGAGTGTATATGATAAGGATCGTATAAAACTTTATTCTGTTCATGAATAGTCACGTAAAATCGATCACCTGAAATAAAAAAACTTGCCGAAGGATAGGGTTGTGCAACGTGCGAATTGCATATATATATATTTTGCTAAATTTTTTTTGATTCTATTTTTGCATGTCATGTCTCCGGCCACGCTATTATCATATTAATAAAACAATATTTGGGTATATATATTTTTTCTAGTAATCATTATTTTGCATATGAGATTTGAGAATGTGTATGCTAATCCTTCGTCATTTTTATTGATTTGCAAGAGATTAACAAATAACGAAAATGCAGTACATAATTGCTCATGAAGATCCAGAAATTGTTTTCTCCTGTGGATTTATAAGTGTTATAAAATGGGCTGGATGACAAAGAATTGACAAAGCTAGTGTATCCAATATGTCGATTTTGAAACAAAGCAAGGCATTGAGAAAAAAAGGCAAAACTTCAGAATCTGTCAGTCTGTCTCTTGACAATCACATGAAGCTTGCTTATAATATTTTGAAAAATCTCGAAAACAGTATCGTAGGAGATAAAGAAATTCCAGAGTTAAACCAATGTTCGGAATGTAATAATGAGGTTTTAAAGCACCTTCTGAAGGCAATTACTATCCTCAGCTGTGGTCACACCTTTTACAGGATATGCATTGAGAAAAAGCTTCTACTAATCATACCGAATACATGTCCATTTTCCAATTATGAAAAGAATGTTGATATCATAGAACCATTTCCTACTACTAATCAAGAGTCGCCAATTTCAGCTTTATCCAACATGATGAGTGAAAGATTTATCCTATCTTCACTAACCATACGGATAGAGGGAATCGAGAATACAGGATTTTAACAAGTCAGAAGTTATTTAAGATGCACCAAATGTTCTGAAGACCTTTTCTTGTATCTTTCACCTATAGGCTTTCTTTGAATCACTCCTTAAGCTCTACCTTAAGCTCTCTCAAAACCATTCATATACTTAATCTGTAAGCATATTGTACATTACCATTGTATCGACAGTCTACGCAAACTGTGCCCTATCTGTCCATCGGCCAATGATATAGAACAGTGTAAAGAGGAAGAAGAAATGGACGTGGATGAGAAAGAGAATGATGAGGATGAAGAAGTTAAAACGGTTTCTTTAGAATCAACTCAATCTGAGAAAACTCCCTCTAGCGGTAGGGTAAGAAGAGAACTAACAATACTACAGAATCTTCAACCAGTAAGAAATCTAAGAAACATGTTCAGCCAGAGAACTCTAATATTTTAAATAAGCTTATCTAGAATTATCTTCCAATACTACTCGACTTTCTGAAATTAAGGAAAGGAGAGGACTCCAAAGAGAAGCTGTACTGGAAGTTGAAATTGATTGAACTCTTTTTAACCTATATTTAAAAATCTCCAATGCTGAGAAATAGAAGGAAAAAGCACACTATGAACTTATTGGGACATACTACTACTATAAAGAGGAGCTAAAGAAATGTCTTGCCCACTACAGAAGTTTTTACACGAAGTATGAAGCCCTAAAGAAGCTTTATGATGAAGTTAAAGATCAGCTTTCAAAAGAAGTTACAAAAAATGCTCTCTAAAAGAAATCAGACAGGGCGAGAAAAGTTTATGATCTTTTTTTTCGTATTACTGATGATAAGATTCAATGGATGGTGTTAATTCAACAAATAAAAACAGTTTCAGTGACAACTATTTCAAATTTAAGCGATGGTGATATCAAATATGTTGCATCTCATATTAAGAAGAATATTCGACAAAATTAAGCCAAGCGAGCTTGTGACGTAATGCTTATGTGATACTTGAATTTCGAGATTGAGCCACGATGTCGCATTCTCAAAGTTTAGCACTTTTTTATATATAGTATTGTAAAGCATGATTATCATAAATTAACTAATAAAGTTTTGCGGTTTCTGAAACCTATCCATATTAGACTTAATGGTTTTTTTATCATGTGTAATTGTACACCCAAAAAAATAAATGTGATTCTGTATAATACCATGTATAGCTAGATCCAGTGTTGGGAAGGCGAGAAGACATGCTGATCATCTCGTAATTTATAGAAGGAATACTCCTAGAACTATCGAGAAACTAGCAGAAGATCTCATGTGATACAATATATGTTATGCTACAAGCCGATTTAGCCAAAGATGCTGTACATATGCATGTAAATATAAAATTAATCTGAGATATGGCCCTATATAAATCCTATAACCGAATAAAAATGAATCCGATATTTTATTATAATATAGTTGTTACAAACTGTTATAAATCACTATAAATTGATAAAAAATAGTGAAATTGCTATAAATCTCTTAACCAGTAAATCTGTATAAATTTGAATAGTGATATTGTCTAGTATAGGTTGATAAAGAATCAATATAACATAC